TTTCTCCATTGGGCCCTTAAGAATGTAACCCCAGGATGCCCCAAGCTTCAGATAAAAGAGGTATTTCTATATCTCCAGATGTATTTGAGCCCTGCCAGATTGTTGGTGGAAAAGTATATACAAGCATACTCTAATAATTACCATTCTGAAAGTATGAGGAAAGCAGGTAGGACTTAGATCCCTCAATGTTTTGACAGCTGCCTGAAGAGTTTTTGTCCTTCACTGCTGTTGTGGCCTTAAAGTCAGTGACTCACTCAGCCAAGATCGGCCCAGCTGTGTACCGTGGATGTCTGGATCTGATCAAAGTTAGCGCGGGATTAGCGGTTAGCGCTGATGCTGGTGACAGCTCTTGAGTCTCTCTGCAGTTTGATCTGATTAGCGGATAGAGGGTGGATGAAGATGATTATGAGGTGAAATGTTCCTGGGAATTAATTCACACCTGTGTTTTGTTCTCAGAGAGGTCATGACAACTCTTCGCTTATCCGTCAACAATAGGGATGCAGATGTTCGCTGTCTGCTTTCAGTATGAATGTCTAAAACAGGAAGAATTTCTGTTATTTCAAGTTATCAATCATCCACTAGCCTCTTTTTTTGTGTGCTATTGTGTTACGACCAGTGATTCTGAGTTCACCAAACTATTAAAATTCTGTCATCTTTTACCAGTGGTGTAATATAACGAAGTAATAATACTTTGTTACAGTACTTAAGTATTTTTTGGGAGTATCTGTACTTTACTTGAGTTTTTATATTTCAGTCAACTTTTACTTTTACTCCACTACATTTCCTAATTAAAATGTATACTTTTTCTCCGATACATTTACCCGAAGCATATTCGTTACTTACTACAAAATAGTCAGAAGTCAGAAGAACACGGACTGCAGGAAAGCAGGTTTGACGAATCAGTGGTCTGGCGTTTGCAAGTTAGACTCCTAAAAACACCTTTGCTCATGCAAACAAGTGTGCAAACAACCGCGGATGATTTCATTTTCCACTCAAGTCGATTCTGGGGCATGCGATATACAGTATATCATCTGCAATAATATGGTAAGTGTTGTTTTAATGATGTGCGATCTGACATGATCAAGTAGGCTATATCACCAAATCACACACAGGGTGCACGCACGTTGATTTATTACTCTATTAAAACTCAAAATTCCAGGCATTCTAAATTGTAGACGGCAAAATGCTTCTGTATGCTTTTTATATTTATATAATTTAATATAGTTACCTTAATCTATCACACAAAGAGTACCGTTTTTCTGCAGATATCAGCATCACACATTTAATAATAATTTTATACAAGTTCAGTAAAGCAATAAGTGACTTACATTTTAGACATAATATTGCTTGTTTTTGCTCAATTTTGCCAACGAAAATAGTTCCAAACAAAGATCACACAGCACTGTTTTGCGTCTATGCTCTGAGCAATGGACGCCGGTGTTTACTTATTGAATGAATCAGCTTTTTGAACGAATCGTTGATAAAAATGATTCAGTGAATCACTCATTAACACAGTCAAATGCTTTGTTCCTGAATGAATCTGTTGAATCTCAATGAATCACTCATTAACAGTCCCTTGCTGCCACCTACTGGCGGTTTTAATTTCACATTTCAAAATTTTTTTCATGTTTTAAATTATTTCAAATGTCAGTATTCAACGTTTTATGTTAAAAACAAAACGTTACGCCTATTTATTCATCTGTAACTGCAGGTTAAATTCATCCATGTCCCCTCTGAGATACATTAAACTAGAATGTTAAGAATAAGAAGCACTTCATCCGGTACTTAGTGACACACATCTAAATGCTATTTCAGATGCAGATTCCAGAAATGATTTCTTATGTTGGAATGAAAGACACTAAGTACTGGATGAAGTGCTTCTTATTCTTACCCAAAAATACAAAATGGAAGAAAGAGTTAAAACTGAACACAATCTTGCTACTCAAGCTGTGTATGAACATTTATTTATTTGCTTCTTTTCCATTTTGCATTTACTTGTACTATTACTTTCAAAACTTAAGTACGTTTAAGATTCAAAAAATACTTTTCCTACTTAAGTACAAAGTATCACATACTTTAAGACTTTTACTCAAGTAATTTTCTAAACGGTGACTTCAACTTCTTCCAAAGTCATTTTCTGGTAAGATATCTGTACTTTTACTTGAGTATGGCTTCTTTATACACCACTGTCTTTTACTCATACCCTCATATTTCTGCCCTTTTGTTCTTCTGTAGGACATTGTAGATTATTCTAGTAATTTGCTGATCATTCTGGAGATCTGGTCGGTCTGGAGCTTTCAAGATTCCAAAAAGACACTTAAGTACTAGGAAAGTATCATAAAAGAAGTCCATTTGACTCGTTTACCAAATTTAGTGTCTTCTGAAGTCATATGATTGCTGTGTGTTATGAACAGATCAACAATTTAGCAATTTTTCACTGATCATTTTTCTTTCCAGTGAACTGTTAACTACTACATTACAACTGTATCATTGTGTCAATGAGTTGAACTTAGTTCGCCCAATAGTTCACCCAAAAATGAAAATTACCCCATGATTTACTCACCCTTAAGTCATCCTAAGTGTAAATGACTTTCTTCTTTCAGATGAATGCAGTTGACCTATCGCCTATTGCATCTACCAGCCAAGGAAACGTGAAAAAGATTAACCCAGTAACTTTGGTTTGGTAAGCCTTTTTCTGCAAGCGTCTGAGAAAACGAGTGCGTCAGATTTCGCTCCCTTGGTGACGTGGCAAAGGGATCTCATTATAATATTACCGCCCCTTAATCTGTAAACTTCCACCCACAGCGCCGTCATTTTGATTTGGCAAACGACAACGGTGTAATGCCATGGCGAAATATTGCATAAATTACATTTGGTTGAAATGCTTGTACTGAAACATTTTGCATTCTACCTGTAATAAAACTGTGCTAAATGTTTTGGGCCACACTAGTAGGAAGCATTTGAGCTGTGGTTATGATACATGTGCATAACATTGACTGTAAAATGTGTATTTTAGGGATGGAAATGACATTTTTATATTCGGGACATAATTGCGCTACTTTGGGCTGTTTTTATTTTTTACTGGCATGGGCTTGGGATGCTTAATTAAAATGATGTAATAGTTGTGATCATTATTTTACCTTCCATAATCATTCAGACTTGATCAGTTGCAGTACTACTGACGCTCTGTCAAGTCTGTATCAAATCAAGCACACCGTAATCACAGGTAAACTGTCTGATCAGTCAGATGTTTGTCATGAGAAGTCTTCCACAAAACAACTATGGTTTGCAGACCATTATAAGAGTTGATGTTACAAATACGTCTTTTGAATATACTGCGTGAACTCACTGTCCTGTTAGCTCAGAAAGCTTGATTTTCCCTCCTCAATAAGTTTTGTCAGTTGTTTTGTTTATTGGTCTAATTCTTGTTTCTTGGGTTGCATTGGTTAGTCACTCAATTAATTATCTTGTGCTTCGTTCCCCACTTCTGAATTATGTTGCATTGATAAGGAGTTATCACAAAGTAAGACTGTTTAGTTGTGCTATCTTAAATTAATTTCTCAAATGAACACTTAAGTCATATGAACCACTTTCATAATGCTTTATCCATTTTGGAACTTGACACCCTTAATTCACATTAACTATTATACAGAAAAGTGGTTTTCTTCAGAAATTTTTTTTTGGTGCTCCACAGAAAAGAAGTCATACAGTCTTGAAAAAATATGAGGGTGAGTAAATGACAATCAATTTTGGGTGAACTATTCATTTAACAGTGCACTAGTGACTACATGAAAAGTGCATAATTTCTCACTCAGAATTTCCTCAACCTGTTTGACGTGCTGTAGTGAATAGTGTGGCATTCCTCTCTAAGTACAATTTGGTCTTAGTTGGGAAAGTGATCTGTTTTCAAAGACCAGAGATCCATGACCCAAAACCATTGTTAGTGAACTGTGTCCTTAGCTCAGGACTGAACAATACACCTTGTTTGGACAGGTGATCTTTATCCTAATGTGCAGAAGGCTTTGAGTGAGATAACAGACTTGGACGTCTTTTGGAACAAAGGCGTCAGGTTTTAATCTGACAGCAGAATTCCCAGTTGATGCTACACATTCTCCATTTCAGATGCTTTCGCCAAAGAGAAGCATGTTGATTATGAAAACTCATCAAAGCCTTTCCTGAAGGATTTTTCCATTTAGTCATGTTGTATCGCAAATGGATGTCATACAAACACCCAAATGCTGCAAATGGGCTTGTAAATGAATGTCAATTATGTGGGCCAATTAGTGTGATGTGTTTACTGTGCAAACAGAGGCTGTTTGTTTGCGCTCTCTGCAGGTTTCAACTAAAGCTCTGTTTGTATTGGGTTTTCTTACTGAACGTTTCTCAGCTGTGAACCTTTTGATTCTCCCTTAATGATTTAATATCCATCTGTAATATCCATCCGTGTTTTAAGATCTAACCCTTGTACGCCGTGACAGCAGGGTGAGAGCGACAAACAGGTCTCTCTGGCAGTTGTGCGTTTGCAGCTGCTTTTCCCCATTTTCTCGCCACACTCCAATTCCACATGTCTGCTTTGTCATATTAATAAGTGAACACAGAAGCAGAAGAGTGCCTGAACTTGTCTATGGAATACTTCAGAATGACAGGCCTGTCCATATACAGTACTCCTCCCCGAATGGAAGTGGTGGGATATTACTCATTTACTCTTTCAGAGTAGCCGAGGTGTGGATTAGGAGGCATTAGGTGTCACCGTTGGACTTCTGCTGAAGAGTGATGCTGTAAGAAGCCTCTCTTAAATGAAGCATGGAATCAACGGTCCCCTATGGTTGGGTGATTCCCTTCAAACCCGGCCCTGTTTTACTAGGATTAGTGGTCATAGGTGAGTCATGTGACTCAGGGAGAGGGTGGGACTCACACCTGACTCAGGTGAGAAAAGTTTTAGTGACTCTGGATCTCTAGTTTGTTCTTCTGTAGCACTTCAACGCCTGAAAAGACTGTTCATCACATGCATGCGTCTATTTCTGGAGCTCTTTCTGGACCTTGCTGAACTTGGGCCATGTTTGGCACTGGGCATTTGGTGTCTCCTCTGTCTTCTGCAGTCTTTCACTCTTCGGCTGCGCACTTCTTCCCGGCGTTTCCCAGCCGGTTGACCTCACCGCAGATCTTCATCCCCGGGCCTCTGCTCAGCTACGAGCTCCTACGCAGTTACCTGCAGCCCGAGCCCTGCAAGCAGGCTCTGCTATTGGCCGCTCAGTCCACAGGACAACATGCTGAGAATATCGGTGAGCCCATCTTACATATAACATCTTATATGCCATCTTTCATTTATTTATTTGGTTTAAATTACATTTTTATTTTCATGTGAAAAGTAAAAGGAGAACTTTTATCACACAAAAAAAATGTTTTACACTTTACGGTTTAATCATTTAGCAGACGTTTTTGTCCAAAGCGACTTATAAATGAGGGCAATAGAAGCAATTAAACCAACAAAAGACAAAAGATTGTAAGTGCTGTGACAAGTCCCGGTTAGTCTAACGCAGTACATGTAGCAAGGATTTATTTATTTATTTTTGATTGGCTAACAACTCATAACTAACAATCAATTATTATATTAGCAGGCTTAATGAATGCTGCATTATAATTTTTTTTAAGTAGATAGAATAGAGAGAGAGTTAGTGTTACAGACTCAAGTTATTATTTTCTTAAATAATAAATAAAAATAAACAAGTAGATAGAAAAGACTTTAGAGAATGTTAGTGTTAGAGGCTCAAGATGTATTTTTTTCAATTAAAGAAAACAAGTAGATAAAATAGAATATAGATTGTTAGTGTTAGAGGGTCAAGTTTTTTATAATGAATTAGAAAAGCAAGTAGATAGAACATAAAAAGAATAGAAGGTGCTAGTGTTAGAGGGTCACATTTTTATATAAGAAATAAATAAAAGAAAACAATTACAGTAGATAGAATAGAAAAGGAATAGAGAGTGCTAATGTTAGAGGTTCAAGTTTTTTAATAAATAAAAAGAAAACAAGTAGAATAGAGTTAGTGTTAGAGGCTCAAATTATTTCTTTAAATAAAGTAAACAACTAGATATAATAGAAATAGAATAGAGATTGTTAGCTTGAGGCTCAAATTATTTCTTTAAATAAATAAAGTAAACAACTAGATATAATAGAAATAGAATAGAGATTGTTAGCATGAGGCTCAAATTATTTCTTTAAATAAATAAAGTAAACAACTAGATATAATAGAAATAGAATAGAGATTGTTAGCATGAGGCTCAAAATATTTCTTTAAATAAATAAAAGTAAACAACTAGATATAATAGAAATAGAATAGAGATTGTTAGCATGAGTCTCAGATTATTTCTTTAAATAAATAAAAGTAAACAACTAGATATAATAGAAACAGAATAGAGATCGTTAGTGTTAGAAGCTCAGATTATTTCTTTAAATAAATAAAAGTAAACAACTAGATATAATAGAAACAGAATAGAGATCGTTAGTGTTAGAGGCTCAGATTATTTCTTTAAATAAAAGTAAACAACTAGATATAATAGAAATAGAATAGAGATTGTTCGTGTTAGAAGGTCAAATGTTTTTATAATGAATAAAAAAGCAAGTAGATAGAATAGAAAAATAATAGAAAGTGGTAGTGTTAGAAGGTCAAGTTTTATTATATAATAAATAAATAAAATAAAACAATTAGAATAGAAAAAGAATAGAGAGTGCTAGTGTTAGAGGGTCAAGTTTTTTTAATAAGTAAAAAGAAAACAAGTAGATGGAATAGAGTTAGTGTTAGAGGGTCAAGTTATTATGTTTTAAATAAATAAAAATAAACAAGTAGATAGAATAGAGTTAGTGTTAGAGGGTCAAGTTATTATGTTTTAAATAAAAATAAACAAGTAGATAGAATAGACTTTAGAAAGTGTTGGTGTTAGAGGCTCAAGTTATTATTATTTTTTAAATAAAAGTAAACAAGTAGATAGAATAGAAATATAATAGAGATTGTTGTTGTTAGAGGGTCAGCTTTTTTATAATGAATAAAAGAAAGCAAGTAGATAGAATAGAAATAGAATACAGAGTGCTAGTGTTAGAGGGTCAAGTGTAGATGGAAGAGATGTGTCCTTAGCAGTTTCTTGAAGATGGCTTAAGACTCAGCTGCTCTGATCTTTTATCACCCTGATATTGATTATTTATTACTTATATACTTACTACTTACTAAAAAAATTAATATATGGACATGAAATATTTATCTTGCGTTGCAATCACTTTATTATGTGTGAAGAAAGAGGCCACATAGTGATACGAGAGACATTTAAGAAACTGATTGCCTATGACAACAATCAGTTATACAGTTTAATAACTGGCTAATAAGAATCATGTATTCAGTAAAGCTGTGTAAATAAAACCTTCGAGATAAGATCGCTCTCTTATATAATGTGTTGTATGGCAAAAAGCTTGACTGGTGAGATAGCTCCGAGTGTTGGATATTTATTTAGGTGATTTGCTCTTAATAATACATATGTGTAGCGTTCATTAAGAGAGGCCATTTGTGAATCATATTCTCTCATAATTGTCCATCCTGATTTTACAGTATTTAATAGGATTCAAAATGTTTACAAAGGATTGGCTAGCAACTCGTAACTAACAATCAATTATCCGGCTCTTCTGAAGAGGGCTTAATGAACGCTACGCTGCGCTAATTATCCAATCTAGAGCCATTGGTTCCTTGTCAGCCTCTGGCAATTGTCTAATTGGTGGCTTCGATGTGGCTTCCAGATGAACCCCGGCCAGTGAAGCAGCGGCGAGCTCGGGCCAACTACAGCAGCTGGCAGCTGGAGGAGCTGGAGAAGGCCTTCGAGAGCACCCACTACCCAGACGTCTTCATGAGAGAAGCCCTGGCCCTCAGACTGGACCTGATAGAGGCCAGAGTGCAGGTTGCCGTTGCCTTGCTCTCTTTGACTGTTGTGATGCACAAAATGATATGAATATTTACTAAATATTTCTCTCAACTATTGCTAAGATTATTATGATCATCATTATTTATTTATTTTTTTTTGTATACATTTTTTTTCTTCAAAATTTGCAGCATTGTTCTTCTTTAAAGTGTTGTTTTGTCCCTAACATTTTCAGTGAGGAAATGCTGTAGTGACATAATAACATTTTTATTTATTTTTGTTAACTAACATACATTTATTTGAGAGACAAAGCAAAAAAACTAAGAAAACAATTTTAAATGAGCATTTTCCTAATGGTATAAATTTTTTTTCTTCAAAATTTGCAGCATTGTTCTTCTTTAAAGTGTTGTTTTGTCCCTAACATTTTCAGTGAGGAAATGCTGTAGTGACATAATAACATTTTTATTTATTTTTGTTAACTAACACATTTATTTGAGAGACAAAGCAAAAAAACTAAGAAAACAATTTTAAATGAGCATTTTCCTAATGATTTTCTTAATCTCTGGTTCTCTTAATGAGTCATTTCTATGTATATGTTTCTACTAAAATACTAAAGAAGAGAACTCTTGAGAAGCAAAGAAACAAAACAAAAAACTATTTAGATTTTCTTCATGAGTTCATTTTTACTTTCCTAAGTCATTTTTTTTCCTGCTAAAAATTCTTAAAATAAGAGAAATCTACTGGAGAGGCAAACTGTAAAACGAAGAAATAATAATAATAAATACATTTTCTCAATGAATTAAACATTTTTAATGGTTTTCTTATATATATTATATTTGTTTTAGTAAACATATATGAAATCTACTTTACAAGAACAATTGGAAAGAGGAAAAAACTATTTAGATTTTCATAATGAATTTTGATTTTCTTAAGTTATTTTTTTCTATTAAAACATATTAAAATAAGAGAAATCTACTTGAGAATTTTTTATATAATTTCTACAACAACAAAAAAAAACTTTGAAAAAGAAAAATCTGCTTGAGAAGCAAAACTGAAATAAGGAAAAAACTATTCAGATTTTCTTAATGAGTTTTGATTTTCCAAAAGATTTTTTAAACAAGTCATTTTCATATTTTTTCCACTGACAATTCTTAAGATACGAAAAATCTACTTGAGAAGCAAACAGAATAACGAGACCAATATCAATACTAATACTGTGAAAATTTGCTGAATTGAATCTAACACACAATACAAAACAAAAACAGTATTTTTTCCCTTTGTTCCCATAGGTGTGGTTCCAAAACCGCAGGGCTAAAATGCGCAGACAGATGAAGCTCCAGAGCCAGGCAGGAGAGCAGTGCGGCCGGCGTGACACTGACGACAGACAGGTAGATTCGTCCAGCAGAAGCACAGCTCCAGAGCTCCACAGCAGCAGCAGCCCAGGCTGGGACAGCAAACACCAGAAAGGAAGCCCCACTTGGTCCAAACCGTCCTCATCAGCTATCCACAGCCCCGTAAGTGACATGCATCAGCGGTCGAGAGATCAGGAGGGGTCAGAGGAGCCCAGTCCAGAGGACTTCCGCTGCTGTAGCATTGCCAAACTGAGGGCGAAGGCCAGGGACTATGAGGCAGAGATCCACAGCACTGTGGCCAAGGCCAGCAGAGAGACGCAGATGAAGACACAGGTATCTGCCGCAGGCCTGGACAGAGACTGAAACAAATGCAGCCATTATACATTACCTCAGAATCACACAGAACACATTAGAAATCCCATTCAGTTTATTATTTATTATTATGCACAATTACACAAGCAATGAGGTTAAACAATGTGACTGAGAGCAGCGAAACACACATTTCTTCACACAATTTTTTTTTGCAGCTTAGATTGTCACAATGTCATGTATTATCTGTGAATTATCTAAGGGATGAACAGAAACTACAACAAATGTTTTTTTGTGTATGTTCCCATTTACCCTACACTCTTAAAAATAAAGGTGCTTCACGATGCCATAGAAGAACCTTTTTGTCTAAATGGTTCCATAAAGAACCTTTAACATCTGAAGAACCTTTCTGCTTCACAAAAGGTTCTTTGTGGCGAAAGAAGGTTCTTCAGATTATAAAAAGGTAAGAAAGAGATGGTTCTTTAAAGAACCTTTGACTGAATGGTTCTTTGTGGAACCAAAAATGGTTCTTCTATGGCATCGCTTGAAGAACCTTTTGAAGCACCTTTATTTTTAAGAGTGTAATAGCAAAAAAAAATTTAAAATCATGATAGTGTTTCTGGCTTAACATACAAGGGGAAAAACGAGACTGATTACTTTGCTCAGAAGAGAGAAAGATGTCAAATTTGCCGTCATTCCCTCCGCAGTTGTGTTAAAAACACCCAGCAGTGTTCATTTTTATGTAATTTAATGCCAGTCTAATATAACACAAACTATAGTGTAATAAATGTTTTAAATGTTTTAAAAAATATCTGTGGAAACACGTCATCTCAATCTTTGAAAAGGGTCCATATTAACTCATAATAATACTTTTTTTATTATACAGACAAATGTGAAGTTAAATGTATACTCTTTTCTTAATTTTAAATGTTTTCTTTAATTATTATAAGCAGCAATTTATATACAGCCTTTAAAACAAATTTGAACTTTTTTGAGGTTGCTTGTTCGCTTTATGCCTACAGTGGACATTTCCAAAGCTAGTTTTCTCAAATGTTGGACTGACAGCTGGTGAACAAGAGGAGCTAAGAGAGGTAGCTCGTGGTGATCTCATCGATGGCCAGCTCCTCTATCAGCTATCCTGTTACCCTGCATGAAAACACAGGATTTCTGCAAGCTGCCACAAGCCCTCCATAAACACAATAGGGAGGGCTGAAAAATGACTGCCTTTTAAAGATTGCAACACACTTTACATATGTACTTTTTTCCACAATAGATGCTATTTGTGCTGAACATTTGTTCATATACTGTAATTATTGCATGCTTTTGGAAGTCACTTTTTAATGTCATGTTTCATGCTTAACATTTACATGTTTTTCAAGAAAATTTGCTACCTAAAGGGACCATTCAACCATAAAATGAATATTCTGTCATCATTTACCCTTATGTTGTTCCAAACCTGTATGACTGACTTATTTTTTCAGTGGAACACAGAAGAAGATATTCTGAAGAATGCTGGTTGCCAAACAGGGTTTGGGTCCCATTGACTTCCATAGTATGGACATAAAATATGGGACCTGAAACTGTTTGGTTAATGATGCAGAATATATATTTTTGAGTGGACTATCTGTTTAAATCCATTTCAGATAATCCTGGGAAATGTTTGTTCAAAACTGCGACCCCTGAGTACTTGTGAAATGCAGGACACCGCTGGTATATCTGAAAATATGGACAGAGTGCCTGCTTCATGTCAAATGAATGTAAAAGTTCTCAATTAGGGAATTTCCCGTGGAATCAGCAGAAAAATCAGCTTCATGCAATGTTTGTGTGACCAAAAACTGGTGTTGAAGAGCCTGAAATTGCATTAGCCTTTAGTTCTCTGAGCCAGTGTGGAGTAAGAGTGCCCTCCTCTGGGCAACAGGGTCCTCTTGAGTTTAAGGGCATCTTGTTTTGAGATTAAGCAGGTTTGTTTGATCAGAACAGTCTATGAGTGTTGGGGAAAGTTACTTTTAAAAGTAATGCATTACAATATTGCGTTACTCCATAAAAAA